ATGTACTCGACAGACTGGTGCGAAGTTATGCAAGTTGTGTGCGCGCCTTCCGGCTTAGGGTTTAAGGCTTTTCATTATATTCGGTCTTTAAGGCTTTCTCCTTCCTTTGCTCCGAATTTGAATGGTAGGCCTCCTGCACGTTTCGCGTGTGGATTTGGACTTACGGTCCCGGGTTTGGGGCTTGTTCTTTGCGCATCTTGCGTGGCGGATAGATCCTGTGCGGGGCTTGGGAGGGCCTAGTCGGTTTCGCGCGAATGTCAAGCTGTGGGCCCAAAACTGTGTTGGATCGCGATTTCGGGTTTCCTAGACACCAGCGGCAAACAGCCCACAAGGGAACGGGTGAGAAGCATGCCGACTTAGAGACCATCAAACATATTTGAAACGGTGAAAACACGCGAGTTCAGACCCAAGGCCTCGGCGAATTTAGGGTTTAGGGCTTGTGGCCATTTCTTGGTTAGGGCTTAGGGGGTGCAGGCTTTGGGGCTCAAGACTCCGGAGTCAAGGAGCACACGGCCAGGTTATAGTTTACTGTTTAGGGCTTAGGGGTTTGGGGGTGTCATTTTGGGCCTTTCCGTGTTCAATGTGTGTGTGTGTGTGTGCGTTGGGGTGTGACGAGTTTGCGGTGCCGGGACAGGGTTTTGTACGGCTTTTTCGGATAGGCTATATGTGTATGTGTGTGTCCATCCTCTTCAATCTGCGTGCATGCACCTTTTAGCTCGTCTGCTTGGGGTGTGTAGACCATCCAACTCGCATCAGATTGCCAGGAGGGCGTCTAGTGTAGGCCCAGCCTCTAGGGGAGAAGTGGGTGCTTGATCCTGCATGGCACAAGTTGAGTGAGCTTGTTTCAGAGTGTCTGTGGTTTTCCGACCAGGTATGTAGGTCAAAAGCGATTTGCCACCGTCGTTTGCTTGTAGCTTGTTCCCGTAGGGCCAGTTAAGATCGAGTTTAAAACTCTTCTTTTGGACCTTGAGTTCAGCCGCCCCGAGTCCCGTGGGAACATGTTCCGCTTTCGAAGACTCTGAGGCCGTCAGAAGCCGTAAGTGAACTTTCCACAGAGGACAGACACACCCATGGCTTCGCCAGGAGGCTGTGGAGTGCGTGGTGAGTGCAGCTGTTTGTGCCGTCGAGTCTGCGCCATCTGGGAAGGCACTCCAGCCATTTTGGTCTCGGGTTTGGCGGTTCAGTGGAGTGTTGCCGGGTAGGTTGGTGATCGTGGTGGCGCGAAAGGCTCGTAGATAGGTTCTTCAATATTGTGCATGAGAGTCAGTGCTTAGATGTCAGACAGAAGTAGGACGAGCCAGCTGTTCCGAAACCTAGACACGAAACAGCCTCTACCCGGAAAGCGGAAATCGGATTTGCCTAAAGTGGTTGTGGAGGTGCTTGGCAAGCTTTTTCACTCCCTCCAACAGCTGCAGGCCCTGGGGTCTCGAATTTCAGAGCTTGTGGCTGCTTGCTATGGGTGGAAACTGCGAATGTGTTGTACTCATTTACTTCTTCGAATCCGTGTGGCTACGTTCTGCGGCGCGCAGAATCTGGAGCTTAGGGTTTAGGGTATGTTTGTGCCCCTGATCTGCGAGCTTTGCAAAAAAGCCAAGCTTCATTGGCCGTTGTGCGCAGGAGTTGAGTCCGACAGCCTCGTGGATGAATTAATTAGGCCGTCCTCTGAAGCCGCTGCAACCGCCGTACGTCATGCCATGCCATGCCAACAAGCCCTAAGAGAACCGCAATCAGCTGAGTGGTTCACATGGCATGGATCAGAAAGAGATTGCCACCCTTTAAGATTGGATGGGCTTCAAAAGGTGAGACGGGCAAAGGAGGCGACTCAAAGCGAAGAACGACGAGACCAAGCAAGGAAGGGAAGCGAAAGCTGAATTTCAGCTGTGCGAGTGGAAGAACCTGCACACGTCGGACACGCAGCCAGTTCGTCTTCATGGACACTCTTTTCCACTGACTACAAGAAACCAGGCCACACCACGTTGACACTAGCGGATGTGGCTTCTATGGCTTGTGCAGAAGTGAATGAATCCCTTTTCGTCAAGCAGACTCATCAACGGGTCGAAACACGAGTCACAGTCCCGCAGCATGGCAATCACTCCGTCCAATCAGAAGTCTACCAAAGCCCTTCATCCCCATCACGTTGCGAAACCACTCGCGGAGGGCAGGTGGGAGCCTTCCATGGTGCACCCCCCCGCAATGTATCCAACACTACGCTATGTGTGAGTCAACTCGTGACGAACCCTGGATCTCCGAAAAAGCTGGCTGTGCAGCTGCAGAAACGGGTTCCTGCATTTCTATATGGGCTAGAACTTCCTGTCTTCTGATCTGATCTTTTCGAGTGTAGGTTTGGAGGAAGAGGAAGCTCGGGAAGGTGTGCTTTTGGGATTTGACGGTGTTGGTGTTCTGGCCGGCTTTGGTGGGTGGCTTTCGGTCGAAAGGTGGCTAACAATGGCTGACAGATCCCAACCCCTGGCGATCACAGTGGCCTAGGAGTTGCCTGGGATCCTTCTCGACATGGCAGATGCAGTGAGAAGTTTGCCGTGAGGAGGATACAGCTGTGGACCCGCGAAAAGGCTTGACTTCACTGCGCTCGTACGATGCCCCATGATACGTAAAGTTTCGGAGGCAAAGAGGTTAAGGATGTGGGCTTAGGGTGTAAAACGGTGAAATGCACAACAGTTCAGATGCCTTTTTGGCAGACACGGCTGCTCGTCACGATGAACTTGACTATTGAATGCTAAATCAAGTCATGCTCGTGCGCTTATGTAGAGGGTTTCCTATGCGCAGGGCTCGTAAACTCATGTCCCAAAGAAGGCGTGAGCCTAGACCGCAAACCAATTGAATCCCTCAGGCCAGGCCCACTCCAAATTTGGGAGTCTGGGTTTCCGAATTATTGAGGTTTGGGCGGTTTTGGTCAGGGCTTGGGCTCTTTTGGTTTGGCCTGCCAATGATTCGGCTCGACGGCTGGGTTTCAGATGGTTCTGTCAGCTATGTTGCGTGGCTTGTCGCCTCAGCCACAACCCGGTTCAGTTTCGGCTCAGCAAGTAGTGCTGCAGTTGTCCCTTCACGAGAAGGCTTGAGAAGGGGACTGTTGTCAGAAAGTGAGGGCTCTTGTCTTGCGAGATTCTTGCAGACTGGTGAGAACTCTCGGGTCCTTGGGGTTCAGACTTCGAGTGTGGAGTGGAACAGCGGTTGTTGCTGTAAGGGAGGTCGTACTCTGAGCCCCTTATTATCTTCGGAAGCCATATGGGCCTTTACGCATGTTTTGAGTTGCGGGGTTGCATATTCGATGGTTGGTTACGTGATAGTCCGATGCAGAAGGTCTGTTGTTTTGGTACCTTCCGGCTTTCGATATCTTAGGAAATATGGTTTCCGGGTTTCGGGTTTCCGGGTGTATATAGACGCCTGAGACTTTGATGTCGAAGACAGTGGTTAGCTTCGGCAGAAGTCCTTGTCCAACGCAGACCTAAAGAGCTTCGGAGCCTCCGCTGAGAATGGAAGTTCGGCAGCCAGAACACTGGAAGCCAATACAGTGGCCATTTTGAAGGCCGCCCCCGGGCAGATTTCGGAGTGGGAAAGTGCTAAGGTTGTGGAGTGTCGCATGCTGATTATCTTACATAGTTGCAATACGTTCCGATTGGATTGCCTTTTGTAAAAAGTGCAGGTTTTGCCTCCTGCTCCTCCTCCTACTACTACTCCCACTACTCCTAGCTGCTCCTGCTAAGCAGCACCGCTGCTGTTTTCCTGCTACACTATCGACGAGAAAACCCGAAACATTCAAGAGCAGATGCCTTACGTTCTCCAACTAAGACAGATACAGCGTTGCTTGTGCAAGCCACGTATGCAAGATCCCATGTGCGCTCCAACCCCGGATCCTTCCAGGAGTGGCTGAATGGCTTCTCCGTGACAGAGGGCATGTGAGTGCACGCATGATTGGGAAAAGACTTGAGCCATCTTTGGCAGGGGTTTCTTACAAGATCGTGCGATGTCTTTGCACTCAAGCTGTTGAGTGTCCACACGGACTTTACTTGGCAATCTTGGAGCATTTTTTTCGCCATACCGCAGCCAGGCTTCGGTCCAAACTGTCTGTCACATGAACTTCCGGTGAATTCCTCAGGGAAGTTCGAAACTCGGGCAGCCAGCTTGGGCATGTTGCGTAACGTACGAGGACTACACTTTGGGAGACAGTCTTGGCCTCTTGTTGATACAGGGGCAAACGAAATAATTTAAGGCTTTGTCTTGCATGTTTTGGCAGCAATGTTTTGGTGAGCACCTTTTTCGAGCCTCCTCGAGCCGGACACCGCAACTCCTGAGTTTTGAATCTTAGAAGCTCCGACCAAGCTCACAGCCGCAAACTTGGCATCCTTAATGACGCTGTTTGCCGCTGGATGGAACTTTAACTGCACGGGATGGAATCACATCGAGCTCATGCGCATGAGCTCGCAGGCTTGGGGGGTTGGCAGCTTCCGACTCGGGACCTCAGTCTTCAGTTTTGCTGTTTGTGGTTTGTGGTACTTGAGTGCATCCTTTCAAACTGGTGTTCGCTTTCAGTTTTTCTGGGTTCGTTAGGGAGTTTGCCGTGTGGGCTCGGGGGTTTGCTTAGGTACGGTTCACGCAGGTCTGTGGTTAGAGCGGTTTGGAATGTCCTGGGCATGATTGTGAGCAGAGCGGCTCCTCCCGTGGGCACGCTTCTCTGGGATTCTCTGGGGGTGGCTACTCACTGCTCTTTTTATGCTTGCGGAGGGCAGTTGCTGTGCTCCGGTCACGGGGCGGCGAGTGACCAAGTTTTCTGCCACTGCGGGGGGTTCTCGAAACGACGCCCCACTACCGAGACGGGCATGTGCAGCGTGCTGTTCAAGCCAGGAGAGGGGGATGTGGGGATGGGTGATGCCCTCGTGGCCATAGCAAGGAAAAGAAGTTTCAACCTGTGCAAGTCTCAGCTTCACAGAGGTGCAGCTTGCTCCGTCTTGTAGCGTTTTCTTTTGCGGGAGGCAGCTCCGTTGATGCAACTCTGTCGTGGACATAGTTCGCTTCACCGGAGCTTGGTTGAAGGGCTCTGGGCGCAGCTTGTCGGAGCAGTTTCAAGATTTCCAGGGAGCCTTTAATCAGATCTTGGAGTTCAGGCTTAGGCACATCGCGTGAACTTCCAACTTGGATGGAGCAGAATTGGTGGTGCAGCGTGCGGCAAACACGAAGCCATACTTCAATGCTAATGATGACCTTCAAAGATACCAGGTCTGACCGAACTGCAAATGTGTTGCTTGGCAGGCCTAGTTTGGAGAACTCTTGGAGATTTGTTTGTGCTCAGAAGTTTTGCTATCCCTCGACATGCAGAGATGTTTTGCCCTCACTCTGTTTTTTCTTACAAAGACGGTTCTGTGAGCTTCCGAGCTTTCCATTCAGTGGGATCTGCGGTCCGAGACCCCCTGCATTACCTATCCTCCAGCTCGCGTGGACACTAATCAGATCGCAAGTGAGATCATATCATCCTGCGTTTTGGTGCTGGCAACGGTGAATGGACCTCGAACCTCGCATCGAGAGTCTCGTTCAAACAAGAAGAAGATGAAAACCCTGGCCTGGAAACCCAGACTGGGAGCGGCTCTTAAATCCAGGTACTGCTCGCCGCAGCTTGGCCTTTGCCAGACTCGGCAGCTTGACGCTTGCTTTCGGATGGATGTCGGAGTTGTTCTCATCCTTTTTTGAAGTGCCCCTTCCTAGAAGCTTGAACAGCTTCCGACAGCCAGCCAGCAGACATCTTGCAGCCATACATTCTGACCAATAATTTCCATCGATTGAACAAACCGAATAGGTTCTTCGACCATAGGTCAGGTGGAAGAGAAGAAGCCGCCTAAAGCGATCTAGGCTTAACAAATAATTTGAAAGGCGAAGCTTAAGAACTAGGGTGGGGTGTGTTTCAATCTATAAGACATACATCACACCATTACACGCTGTGGGGAAGGCAAGGGAACATCTTTGACTGTTCTTGAGATCAATCTCGCGACGAGTTGGGGTCCAGGAGATGCTGGTGAAACGTGCCAGCCGTCGCTTGGAAGAGCGAACCAAAGAGGTACGATGGGTGGGCCAAGTTCCAACCCCAAAACCAGAAATCCCAAATCCCTAAAGCGCATAACACCAAGCCACCAAGCCCCCAAGCCCCCAAGCACGTAAACCCTAAAAGCCCAAAGTGAGGTTCGGGTTCGCACCCAAAGAAAGCACCTCCGAACGCAAAACTTCCGAGATTGGCAGGGTAAAAGTGGAGGAGAGTACTGCAGGAGCAACGAAATCGCACGTTTTGAGCACACTCTGAAGTCGACGTAATGCATCAGAATCAGGTCAAGTTTGCGATTTGGTTTGGAACAGCTTAGTAAACGGGGACGTCATCGAATCAGGGTTCGCTCACAAGGTAGAACTCACCTTCATCATCATCGTCATCATCATTATCATCAGGATCAATTGGATCGTCAGCATCAGCATCGAACTCGTTTTCGTCGTGGAAACCGTGGCCATCATCAACGCCTCCATCATCATTACCTTCTCCATCACTAAAATCCTGCACCATCACTACGATCAATGTCACGGCCACGGCCGTCATGACCGTAATAGTGCGTAATCATTGCATCGTCCTCATCACGTGGTGGGCTTGTTTTACGGTGCGAGCTTAAACTTGGGTTGTGCGTCGTGCAACTTTAAGGGTCGGGCGACAGGTGTACTTCAAGTTGAGGACCGAGAGTGCAGGGCGGAATTTCCAGTTGTTGGCGCGGGTTTTTTTGGCCCTGATCTTGCACGTGCGTCAAGCATTTCATGCTCTCTTGTATTGTTTTCTAGTGTTGTGCTTTATCGTGTCTTGTATCATGTGGCCTTCTGGGGTTCTCAGTGTAAACAGATGGTCAGATAAACAAGGTCAAGTAGATTTCTATTTGCACCTCAGGGGCGCTGTGGTCGTGCCTACTGTTGGCGGCCGTTTCAAGGTTTTGAGGGTTTGGCTTTTGAAGGTGCATGCTGTGATGCACTGAGCCCACACCTGCAAACGATTAAATCAAGCGCCTGAATCCTGAGTCTCTAGTGACTCGAGTGTGTCCCGGGAGATCTTGAGCAGGTCAGCTTGCAGTTGACAAGGACGCAGAGGGATCCAAAGCTGAAGTGTTGGAACAAAAACGGGGAGGCTTCTTGTGGTTCAATTTTTTGCTGACAAGCCGAGCGTCTAGAGGTTGCAGAGCTTACTGGCTCAGGTTCACGTAGGGCCAAGGTTCGGGAATTCTGGGGGGTGAAAAGGTGAAGGTTTGGGATGTGCTTGCCCATGCATCTCACCAACATGTCTCCACTGCATCCCCATCAATTTATGTAGACTCCCGCTTTTCGGCTAAACCTGTTGAGTTTTCTTCGAGCCTCATGCCCACGAGATGTCAATGGATCCTGCCGAGTGTAGCCATGCAGCTGTAGCCGAATCTCAGATGCCAAAGCCTGCCCTAGAGCCTTAAGCATCCAGATTCAAAAGACTGCAGACTCGCCCGCATTTTGGAGGAACTCTCGCTTCACAGCGAAGTTTGTGGCAGTGGTGTCGGATTCCTTCCATCTGGTTTGGAAAGACTCAGGCTGTGCCGACTTTGTCATATCCATGAAGGCCCGGGCCCACTGAACTTGAACTCTTGTTTTGCCTAAAAGTCTCAAGAACTCTTCTGGGGACAAGTAGGTGAAGGCCCCATCTGCTGCCATTGCTAGTGCTATTACATCTGTCATTTCTATTCTTATCGCTACCTTCCTCCTGCTTCTAGAACAACTACAGCAACAACAACAACAACTACTACTACTGCTCTACTACTACTACTACTACTACTACTACTACTACTACTACTACTACTACTACTACTGCGGCCTTCCGAGTTCTCTTCAGGGAGCTGCCAAGAGAGCAGTGCAGCCACTGAGCTGCCGGACAAAAGTCTGTCCCCCATACGTCGGACGTGAATCTTCGCGAGACGAGTGCAATGCAAATACTACTACTACTACTACTACTACTACTACTACTACTACCACCATTGCTACTGCGACTCCTGCTCCTACTGCTACTCCTACTCCTACTGCTACTGCTAGTGCCACTCCTACTCCTACTGCTACTGCCACCGCTGCCGCTACCGCTACTGCTACTGCTACTGCTTACCGGACCAACGACGCGACGTTGGCCATGACGGCTACTACCACCACGGAACATGTTTGATATGTTTTGCTTGTTCGGCGTGATTTGTTGGTGGTGCTTGCGGTGCTTGCCTCTCTGCCTCTACATCCAGGTCTCCGACATGTGGTCGAGCGCTGGTGGCTTCCTGGAGTGCATGCGGGATCTCACGGAGGCCTCCCAGAGGCGGTGGCTCTTGATGTGCAGGTATGCTGCGGTGGAGAATAGCTTCATGATACCGCGGTGGAAGTTTGCTTGGGAGGCGGATGGGGGAGTGTACGGCGAAGGGTACGCCAAACACCTATCACATCGAGCTTATGCCCTGCTCCAAATGCTGAAAAAGATGTCTGCGAATTCGCGCCCGGATGAGCCGTTGCTCATGGTGGAGCTGGGTGTCTGCATGGCTGCGACGTCAGAAGCACTGTTGAAGCGAATGCCTGGCTTGCGGATGATTCTCGTTGATCGGGTCATCTTTCCCGCGGCCAAGCAGCGCACACAAGCTTACGCAAATCGCACAACGTGGATCAATGACCTCGGTGCGGTGGCATCAAGCAAGGCTGGCTCATATTTCCTGCAGTACGCTCGGGTGCTTCGAGAGTTTTGGGCCTGGTCACTGCTGAAACTTTGACACATGACTGTGCCTAGAATCATCGTTATATTCGAGAATGTCGGCATACTTCGGTAAAGGGTGAATGCTGCTGACAAAGAACGAGTTGCTTATGGAGGGGAGTCTCGGGTGCCACTCAGCCTTTGAAGTCCCGAGCTGCTCCCAAAGTCCAAGACTACGCTGCTAGATGACATCTGTATCGGTCGATGACGAATCCTGGGCCCCTGTTAACATCCATTCAGCACTCCATCCCCGGAGAGAGCTCGTCAAAGCAATAAGCTCAAGCAGGTGGCAGATGGATCTGCAGACCTCGTCTTCATAGATGCAGCCCACGACTATGAGTCTGTCCAGGCGCTGGTTTGCATTTGGAAATTTTGGTGCGGGATATGTTTGTCTCGAGTTCAGTCTCAGCATACGAGGTTCCATGATTGAACTGTGTCCTGGCAGTCTGGAGATGAGTCGCATGCGCCAATCCCAAATTCCGAAGATCAGTAAGCTTAGTTCTCATTCAATCAGAGGGTATGCAGTGTCGAGACGGCGCCTCCATGCCACGGTGTAGTGACACTACAGCCCGCCGCACAATCTCATGCTCAATTTGTGTACCTAGTACAGCAAGGATCCGATGCTGAGGACACTTCGAGGCGTGAGTTCAAGGGCTTAAGGTTGCTGCAATCCTTCGTCAGGAAGACCTCCTGCATTGGGCGTCAAAAGTGCGTCCTGGGGGCATTCTCGCCGGCCACGACTACCTCACCGCCTCACCAGGCTTGCTTTCCGTGTTACATGCACGGCTTTGAGGAACACAGATGTTTTGCCTGTGGAGGTTTTAAAGATCTTATGTAGCGTGTGGGTTCATTTCTTCCAGGAGCCGTGTAGTGACGGCAAGTCAGGGTGGTCGTTTTCTGTCCCGCGCGTCCATGCACGTCGTCTCTTTTGTCAGATTTGGCCATTGCTCTGTGTTCCTGTGTGTGTGTGTGTGACAACCCTGTATCCAAGGGCCTTCTCCTCACGCTCTGCAGCCGTTTCCTACTTACGCTTTACATATAACCGAACTTGAGTACAGAGTACACAGCAGGGGGGCAGCGAGCATTTCTGGATTGCGCTGCCTAACAAAGACCGTCCAGATTTGCTGTGATATGAAGAAGGGACGCCTTCTTCACGTACCTGCACAATTGCTTGTGACATCCTGGTCTTCGCTGTATATGGTTCGTCATCGTATTGGTGCATATTCCTTGTCTGGATGGCCTGGGGCTAAGCCGAGGACCCCGCACAGAACCTTGTCAGTGCGAGTGAAGCCATTCTTCAGTGCGAGCGTTTGCAATCGTTGGTCCTGGTCTTGTCCTTCGGCACGTTGGGGTTCAGGCTGGCGTTGTGGTTTAGCCAGGCAGGTTGAGGTGTCAGCTACAGACTTTCTGCACTTCCTCTTTGCAGCTGTTGTCCATGAAGCTACCTGTCCAAAGTCTCTGATGTGTGGTCGCTTGAGACCTGGACATCAGGTGGTCCGTCGCATACCGAAACCTTCCTTAGCATTCAGTGTGTAGTCCTCCGGGACGGTGGTGTATGCCTCGGTGCTGCACTCAGATCCTCCAAGTTCGGAGGCGCCAAATTCAGTGTCAGCGCTTAGATCAGTTCAATGAGGAGAGCAGTGAAGCCACACGGCCTAACCGCCTCTTATGGCACCCACAAATTCGGCTCCATGCCTACCAAAACGCGATTGCAGCCAAAGCAGCTTCAAGCACTCACACCCAAGGACTCAGGCAGGAAGAGTTTTGACCGTAACGTTCTAGTGGTTTTTCCCTGTAGTAGTTGCTGTTGTAGGCTGTGCATTGCTTTTCTGCATTCGCCATGCTTCCTCGTCCCCGTCCATCCTGTGCACCTGGACTCCGGACGACTGCACCCTCTCGCTCACGATCTCGGCCACGCCCGAGGTCTGCGTCCTCATCGTCTTCCTCTTCCTCTTCGTCGTCAACGCCGGCGGCACCTACGACCCGGACTGCGGCACCTCAACGTTCTACTTTGACTGGCCGAATCGCTGACCCCTTGCAGCCTCCACGACCTATCGATATGGCAGCTCCAAGCACTCTTCCTGATCTTTCTCCTCTACCTGCGAGCCCGTTTTGGCCTGGTCTACTTCCTACTGGCTCAGCCCCGCCTTCCTCCAGCAACGACCAGTCGGTGCCTGCCGATGCCTCTGTTCCTACCTCGCTGCCGGATCCGTCTACCACCCCTACGGCATCCTTGACGTCTCCACCTACAGCATCTTCGACCTCAGCAGCTCCCTTCAGCTCCGCTTGCACGTTGGCAACCTTACGCCAGTGTTTGGCCACGGCAGGCCAGCTTGACACCTATTTGCAATCCGATTACTCTACACGGCTGGGCTCCCTCAAGGCGGTGCACTGGGATCGAGTGTATACTGCATTGCTGCAACACAGGCCCTACTTCAAAGCGCTCCCTCATCGCCGACAATGTCAACGGGAGTTACTTTTGGAGGGACGCCATTTTGAAGTGCCTTTCACCCTAGCGGATCCGATACTCACAGTGATGCATCTGTTGGTACATGCCGGATACCATCCTCACAGTGTCCAGTTCAAGTTTACACACGTCGAGGCCCCCCAACATCAACCAGACCAAGCAGGCAGACCGATGCTGATGGTCTCGCTTCCCTTCCCGGCAGCGGCACAGCGTATTAGCGGGGCACCTGCCGTCGCGTATTTCGGTCACAACACGGACCTTCAGGCGGCTTTTGGCATCCTTAAAGAAGGCTGCATCCGCCCCAGCAATTTCGACCCCCTTGACGCCTCTTGGCTACCGAGTCCTGCCTTTTACTCTCGCGCTTCTGTCCACAGTCTCAGCGGAGCCTTACGGGCTGCAGCCAAGTTCGGAGGATGGGGCTCTCCCCGTCCGATTTGTGTATATGGCCGAATCCCCATTTGCTATCTCGACATAGCCAATGCCGCGCCTGCCGACACACCGTCTTCAGTGCTCCCCAACACTCCCGCGGCCTATCACCTGAAGAGCGACAGTGGGGGCACCGTCCCCGAAAACGCGGCGAACTACTTCGTCTCCATCCTACACGGCAACGACAACCGTTGGGGCGTGCACTCCACGCTTGCACAACCAGAAGGCATCGCCGTGTTCATGTGAGAGGACCCACAAAATGTGTGCGTGACTTGAGGTGCGGTATTGCTGGTCTCTTTGTTGTTGCAGCTTTATTCCTCTTTATCCCGCAGCCGTTTTGCTGAAACCTTTACAGCACATCATGGCCTCCTCCGCCTTCACTTCCGAATATTTGCAGCTGTTCTTGGTGTTTTTCGAGTCGCTGTCTGACAACCAACTGCTCCAGGTACGTGACGTATTGCTACGAGCCCACCAGAATCGACCGACTTTGACTCCTTTGACTCCGGTGACTACGACATCTACTCCACCGCCTCCGGATGGTCCTCCACCTGCCACAGTACCGATCACCTCCAGTGACCCAGGCCCTTATTCTGGTCAAGCCGCCTATGACTCTCCCGGACCTCAGGTACTTCCTGGCGGCAGTGTGGCCCCTCCGGCCCCTATGGGACCACCACCGGTTCCTCCTTATGCGGATGAAGAACGTTCTCGCGCTGACGACCGGGATCGTGATCGTCATCGCCGTCGACGTCGTTCGGCATCCCCACTTCCTCCTGACCCTCTGCCTGCTGGACCTTCTCCTCCGATTCCATCAACCCCGGGACATTCTGATGCCATCCCGATCGGCCACACAGTTCCACCTCCGGCTGTCTCCAAGCACACCGGACGACCTCTTGCACCGAAGGTGGATGCCGATGGCACTTTGACTTACGTCCAGGTCAAAGCGCGACCGCAACTTCCTCCTCCACGCACCACAACGGCGACCACCGGCAGATCCCGTAGTCGGCGTCGCCGCCGCGACCGTGCTGACCGAGACCGTGATGATCGTGATGATCATGACCGTTCCCGAGGTGCACGTGATGTTCCCCATCGCGATCGAGACCGTGATCGACATCGGCGTGATCTGAGGTCCACTGACGCCACCAGCGGAGACCAGCAGCGTCCACCCCTGACCTTGTACTCAGTCGCCCGGAACTGAGCAAAACATGTGCCATCGCCGACTCTGCTCCTCCTTCCTTGGATGTTCCGCAGCCATTTTCTACATTACTCCACAGTCCTGCCCTTCCCTGGTGCCATACATGTCTCTCCGACGCTCTGCTCCTCTTTCGTCCTCTGCCTCCTCTTCCTGCACGACCTTGTCGTCATCCACTTCGGCAACTATCTTGGAGTACTTGGACGTATTGACTGATCCTTTCATTCTCTTCCGGGTGTTCTTACCACTCTTGGAACTTCGTCTACGCACTGCTCTCGTCCCTCCGGACTCGATGATGGACACTGCTTCTTCCCGTGCACCCGCCCCGGACTCCACTTTACGGTGTCTCTTTCCCATTGCTGAACTACATGGCCAGGCTCTGGCGTTCCGGACGGAACGCGACTATCACCTTCACTATGCCCTCGCCGAGATCACATTCCATCCCGGTGTCGTTGCTTCTTTGATGATGACATGCTCGCGAGCATATTACGCAGTACGAGCCCTTCTTCGTGATCGTGGACTTCAATATGCCTTCTACGTGGAACGCACACCCGATCTTCCACGGTCACATTCTTCTCGACCGTGCCTCTCCATCTTCCATCCGTTTTGTCCACAACAAGTCCGCGGCATGGCGTTACACCGTGGAATTCAGCATTGGGTCTTCATTCCTTCCAGCTACCAGGAGTTGCCTCTGATCCGGCTCGGACGTTTCTCATGATGCGCGCTCAGGACCTGGACAAAGGGACTATTTGCTGCTGCAGCAGTTCTTAAGCGAGCTCACTTCCCGCAGCCGTTTTATACTTTGGCTCCTTTCGCCTGCTTCCTCACGCCTCCTCCCCTTCTTCCTCCTCCTTATGCCCCCACACCGCTCTCGCACTCCACCTTCCCGACGACATCGTCTACCTGGACGTGATGAACCTTCTCGAACACCGACGGGTACCACACTCTGACAGCCGGGTGCACTCCACTCCTCCACCTCATGATGATCCATCCCACTATTCTTCCTCCGGTGCACCTCCTGCTCGACGTGAACCTCGCCGTGATCGCCGAGACCATCCTTCCGCTCGAGATCACCGCCTACTCCAGGAACGCTACGAAGACATCCATCCGCTCGGCGCCAACTGGGAAACCACCGACCTCTTCCTTGACGGTTTCCCTTTACCGCGCAATGTCGTAGACACTGCCTTTACCAGGCGTCTCGGCATCGCCGAAATGCCTATTCATCTCGTACCTGTTGTGTCGCTCACCCCGAATGCGGGGCAAGCATGGATCGTCCGCCTGCTGGCTGCTGGCCGCCCTCTTGTGATCGAAATTTTCAGGACGCGACAGGAAGCGCTTTTGGCTTCATTCATTATTCGGACGCTCCGCAAGTCCTCGGACCAATACGACATCTCTGATGTCCTTAAGCAATTACACGACAACCACACCGTTGCTACCGAAGGCCCACGCGACCTTACCATATGGGCGTATCGCGCTCAGCTCTTGCAACACGTGGCGGACAAGGTTGCTGCGACTATTAATGATCTACTACCCCACGGTGAAGTTGCAGCCGGAGGACGACCTGGACTTCTTGAACAAATTCAACGATTGCAGCAGGAGAACGACCAGCTAAGGTTGCTTGCCGCTGGCACAGGCGCCGAGACCTTACCTCATCCACTTGCAGAACCGAACCCTCCACCAGACGCTGCCACCAGACTCCGGGACTCCTTCTCCAAGTTCGAACGACTTGATCGCCGCGCTGTCCTTGCATCCAACTCCCCCAAATCCGCCTCTACCACCGATGTGAAGAAATGGCTCGACGGTCTCATCAAGCTCCATCGCGAATCCTACACACCGAAGCTCACCGAGTTACAGGGCATCTTGAAAGAGGCCGCTTCGGGTGTCCTGCCGCCCCTCGACAAAACCCTTGTGGATCGGGGATTGTCTGTCACTTTGGCTTCCAAGTTGTCGGAGGTCAACCAGCAAAAGCTATTGGCGATGACTGCGGTCCTCTCCACTTTCCAGCCAGCAGCTGTTCCTGCCACTGCTCCCAGCACATGAGCGTGTTCGTTCCTCACTATATTTCAGCTGGCACATGGTACAAACTGTTGCCATCGCGGGGGTGGCTGCATTCGAACGGAAATAGTTTGCAGCGTTGCAATGCCTGCCTGGACGTTGATTCACATGTTCGCGCCTTCCGCAGCCGTTTCCTTAGGGTTTTTTGACATTAATACCATGCCGCTCCAGCTCTCCGTACTCCCTTGCGGATTTGTGCACCAGCTCTTGGACTACCACCAGAACTTGTTCGCGTACGCCGTGGCCGCGACTCACCCCCCTATTGATGGCAGTCCAGGAAATTCTATTCGGCAGACTACACGACATCCCGATGACGTCATGATCCGTGATCGCCTGGCCGAGCTCATTGACCGTCACACTAACCTCTTCTACGGGTTCTTTCGCGTTGGAGACAACTATTATCATGGCCTATTTGTTCTCACCTTCGACATCGGCGTCATATCGGCACTTTCGGCCACCAACCGCCATCTCAATGATGCACTCGCCATCTACCTCCTCGCTCGCTCCATGACCACAGTTGCCCTTCTACACGCGGATCGTTCTGAACCTCCTGATCTTCGTCGTAGGCGTCTTCCACTTGGCTCGGAGTTCTCCAGCATTGTGCGGTTCTCCTCATTGACGTACCGCTTGGGTATTCCCTCCTATTTGACTGAGTTCGATTGCACGGAGGTCCCCCGCAGTCGTCTGTTCCGATTACGACTCCATGCCTTTGGCACCGCCCTGCAGAGCAGACACCTACAGGACACCTCCTGGAGCGGATGATCGTGTGACACAAAGAGTCCTTACTTGCTCTTCCTTTTCATCACTGACCTCCTACAATTTGAGTTGTTACCCGATGTCCTCTACCCGCAGCCGTTTCAGTTACTTCGTTTACCCTTCATCCACTTGCTCGTCACACCATGGCGAACTTGGCACCGGAGACGCTGGTGGACCTTCCTACTACCTCTGAATACCGCGAATGGGTGGCAGCGGCTAGAGAATCTCGCAGGGATCGCGCTACACCGACTCCATCGACCACCTATGTCTCCCTGTCCTCTGGAGACAACCGTACGAATTGCACCTTCACCGACGTCCCGGTCAATTTTTGGCTTTCCCCCTTCATCTTGATGCGAGGCTGGTTGGTTCCGTTCTCCTCGACCTCACCGCGACCGCACATCCACCAGATTATGCACGAGGTGATGACGGAGGCCTGTAACATGTATTATGAGGTTGTCCAGATCGCGGAAAATTCTTACCATGGGTTGTTCGAGATCGTACTCGACTTGTATCTCACCACGCAGCTCCTCCGGGTCAACCGCATCATGAACTACGAAGTCATTCATTTCTTGCACGGGCGCAACATCACACACTTCATCACTCGGGACGTTCATCAACCTCGACCCGCTCAACTACTACCAGGTGAACCCACTCCCCGTATGCGAGGACCCTTTCTGCCTCCACGCACCCTACCCATCGGCACCACCTACGCTGACCTGGTCCGGTTTTCAGATGCGGTTCTGACGTTGATGATCCCTCATGAAATTCACACTTGGGAGGCCATGGAGCTGTTGCAAACCCAGCTACGGTGTCTACGCGCCCGCTCCTATCTGTTGTTGGGACAATGCCTTCATTACCACCGCCGCGTGTTCTTCACCACAGCTTCCGCCATTGATATGGATCCATGACGTCGTGTTCCGCATTCTGGCCTTCATGCACTCTTCCTGACTGCCCGTACGGAAAAGATCACATGCCCGATGCCCTATTGTATTCGTGTTGCACCCCTTGTTCTGATTTATGGATCCCGCAGCCGTTTCTCCTATTGTTTACAACACGGCCGGGCCCTTCTTCACGCCGAGCTCTATGAAACGATCAGCCGCCGTCGCCGGGCTACCCATTCCACCTAATCTTATACGTCTTCGCGTTCTGATCCCGGCATGGTTCCTTTGTTGTGACCTACCCGATGGCGGCGGACATGCGGAGTGGTTGGATTTTCATGTGTGGAGCGACATGCTCATTGACCATGTGAAACAACGACTCTCGCAACTCCTTCATCAACGCCATGGACGTTATCTGCACCCATCTCACTTTCAGTTGCTCCAGGGCGACCGCCACCTCTCCTACATGAGAAGTACCACTGCGATTGCCACCGTCAAGGACGCTGAAATCCTCCGAGAAGCACCCGCCTGTGGCAGTCTACTTGAGGCCCGCCGGACGACCTGGCAACCGGCCATTGAACTACCTCAAGGTGCCACACCGACTTGGGGACGTTGACGGCAAAACAGACTGCTGCCGTCCTCTGTGCCGTGTTCCTCGTTCTTTCATGGATACATGCCGCAGCCGTTTTCGATCATCATCATGAGTGTCCCCTTCCCCATTGCCTCGCTCGCGCACATCACCTCGTACTTACAGTACATCGATGTGATCTTGGAGTTACACGACGATGCTGAAGATTCCCCAGAAGCACATGACAACTTGCCTTTGTGGGTGACCAGGTCTTGCGATCTGATTACCAGCTCCATGCGAAGAGCCCGGCTTCAATGCTGCACACCGCGATTGATCCGACATGGATACCATGAAGCAGTTTTTCGCGTCTCCCTGCAACATGTGAGTTTATTCATTTGTCAGACAACGGCAGCTGTTTGTTCGGAATGGTGCTGCGTTCTGCGTGATCGTCTCGATGCCACTGAACATTTGCAGCTGCACCTCGCCCGCATCCCGCAAGCTGCTCTACGGCAGGGCGCTCCGTGCAAACTTTTCTACTTTGATGACGAGGAAGGCGTGGAAACGACCATTTCCATCCTACGAGCTGCCCTACCAGTTCGTCGCATACGTTTTCAGCCCTTCATTTGATTCACTCCATACCGCCCTGACGTCAGAAAACCGTCCGACACTGCGATCCTCGGTTAGCCATGTTTGCTCCTCTTCCCTTTTCCGTCCGCAGCCGTTTACATTCGGGACGTTTCCTGTCCCCACCTATGCCCATGGTCCATGAGCGGTGCCGGTCTCGCACTCCACGTCGACAACATTCTGTACGTGCGGAAGGCACTCCTCGTGCACGAGTACGAGGCGGCAGACAAGCTCAGACCAGTCGACTTATTGATTTCCTACATCAGGGCCCACTTCACCCGCTTTATCGCCGCTTTGCCAATGGCCAGTCGGTGTACCCGCTTGCTTTCGAGTCCACTGATGCCTTACTTCTCGTTAACGAGGTCATACGACAATTGGCAGAAGGTTCTTCGTTCTCACCAGCACATTTTCCTGCCTTACGTGACGATGACGTTGCCCGCCGCCTACGACATGAACTTTTCCCTTCATCATCATCCTCTACCTCTTCCGCATTCCGACCAGCTATGGGTTTCAATCATCCGCGAGGATCACAGACATCCGGCGGTCTGCCACTCCGAACAACCCCGGCCTCATCTTCGCGACGTTCCACCACCAGTACATCCACAACCCCATCTACATCTTCAACCTTACGGATTCCACCGCCCCCTCTCGATGCCACTTTCTCCCACCGTCCGGATACCACACGCAGGATGTCACCACTTCGAGTACATTATACTTGTCCTTCCTCATGTGACACGTCCCATCCACCTTGGACTCCGACATCTTCCTCTACAGGTACAACTTCATCGACCGGGACGTCCCTTACCACACCCACCGGCTGGACCAAAGATTCGGACCTCAAGATTGATGGATTGACAACAACATTACGACAAGCTTTGCCATCGATTTCCGACTCTCGCATCCACGAGTGGCTGACCAGCAGATACGCACTGACACGCGTTCAGGTTGCTCACACCTTACAAACGTCCGCTCTCCGACTCCTCTTCTGCCTGGAGATCTTCAGCTTTGACCACTTTTTCGCTGAGGATTTGGGGGACGACGATGACGAGGTTCCACAATTTCCTCCGCGACCCCCAGTACGTCACCACCTACCGCCTCACCCACACAGACTTCTTGGATCTTTTCTGGACTTTTACATTGCGGCATCGCCGATCATACGACAAGTTCTTCCACATCACGTTTTTGGACGTCTTTCCTGGGTACGCGCTCTGTGGTTCCTACAACTTCATCGCCTACGGTTCGCCACTACTACCAACCATCGCGGTCTCCAGGATTTATTCTTCAACTTGGACGTACAGCGGTACACTCTACGACATCATCTAGAGTCTAGCGTTGTCTACATCAAAGTCTCCCACAAACACCCCGGATGGTACATCGGCTCCACCATCCACACGATCACCGACCGGGAAGTTAGCCGCCGGTCAAAATACAATCAACTTTGTTCCGGCACGCAAGCGTTCTTCGAGCCTGCCCTACGCATCTGGCACGCGGCCGGTACATATGACCATCATCTACCGATTACTCTACAGCACCGACCTACTGAGGAACAAGTCCGCGCCTTGGAACAAGCTCTGATTGCTACATATCACCCACACTTGAATGCCCCTTTCGTGTACACGTTTCTACGAAAATTGGGAGTGCAACTGGAAGTACCCATGGTCGTCACCTTCTTGGAAGGTGGCAACGGAGCTCGTCTTCTACGCGCTCATCATCGGTACACACACTACCGGGATCTACCGGAACTCCTTGGCACTCGCTCCCTCATCGAGCAACGGGAGACCCTCGCCACAATCATACAATATGTCGGCAGCAATGGCATTCTCAAGTTCTTCTCACAACGAGTTCTGCGTCGGAATAGCACTCCGATCGCCTACCTCTACTTACTCGTCCGCTTCCTTGTTTTTGTGGATGAACCACATCAGACACGTGCCCTACAAGCCTTACGTCTGGCCCTTCGCTACAAAGGAGGGGATATTCCGCCTCGTCACCGATTACTTCCTCTTCCTCAGTTGGCTCATGACTTTTTACGACAAGCTCAACATTGGTTGGACAGCTATATACTTCATCACCGAGAATGGTTCCCGCCTCACCACCTACCGCGATACACCATTACCGAGAGAAAGGCCCCTACACTCGGTCAAACCTTGTTCAACCACCACGCATGGTTGCGACAGTGGGACCCAGAGAAACCCTTTCTTTGCTGTTGTCAACAACTTCCAGGACAACGCACACCCTCAGATCATGTAGCAGCTCCGGCCGATGTCGTCCTGAACGAATCCATCTATCGGGAGAACATGAGCGACGGCCGATGGTTGACCAAATCACAATTTCGCAGGTATACAGTGGCCCCTATGAACCGATGGTTCAAGCTGTGGCGACAACCTGACCAATCCCTACTTCGCTGGCAAGTTTTTGTCTCACACCAATGGCGACTACACGGACAAACTCTACGGATGCGACCTGACGGCAGACAGTTACGTGAACTCAAGAACTTACGGGAAAGCTCTGAGCACATCGTGATTTCCCCCATTGATCATGGCCCGCATTTGGCGTATGGATTCTGTCCTCAACAATACTTCGACATCCTGACCAAGACCTTTCTGGATCCGGCAGTTTTCTGGCGACGAGACACCAACCCGATGCAGCTGTCGGAACGTATACAACGAGCTATCAAACGACACGTTCCTACACGCTATCACTGGGCCCTGGCACCCAAAGAATCTTTGCCGTACGCCTACGTGCTCCCCAAGCCCTCCAAACAATTCTTGAAGGGTCGCCCGATTGTCAGCTATTCCAACACGTGGTGTGCCACGCTCGCGAAATTTCTTTCCACCGCAGTCCTACAGATGCTACAGACGGTCGTTCCACCTCAGTTCGTTTCCCCTACTGTCCACTCCATCATCCAGACGTTCATACATGCCTTCCGCAACAACCCGGTCACGGTGGAACTTCAGCTACTTCAACAAGATCTTTCTGGTTTCTTCACTTTCGTTCCACATGATCGCATTTACCACTCGATCTCGTCGTTGACAGACATGTTCGCTCGCCACCAACAGATTCCCTTGGACTCTGACATACAGATCACGATGCGGGACCGCAATTCACTTGGTCGCCTATTTCGAGGCCGATATCGAAAAGCCGGTTCACATTACAAACCTCTATGCCTTCGTGATTTACCTTCATTGGTTATGTTCTTGCTACGTCACTCTTTTTTCACAGTTGGCACGGAAATTTTGGTGCAACATCGCGGTGCCTCCATGGGCTCACCCATGGCCCCCTCAATGTGCGGAGCGACCGCAGCCCTGTGGGAAGCCACTTTCCACCAACTCATCCGCGATCAGTTGCTGACTTCTCGTTATTTCTGTTCCTCACGCTATGTGGACAATCGTTGCCTCCTTCGGATTTGGGATGGGGAGCTGGAATCCCTGGACGACTGCCAACGACACCACTCCCGCCGAGGTTACGATCCTTTCTCTTCATCCTCTACGTCATCGTCTGGTTGGTTTCAAGAGGTATACCTACATCCACATTTCTATGGCCTTCCCTTGGAATTGGAGCACGTTCCGGGACAAGAACTGTTGGGCACCGTCGTGGACACCGCACAACGTTCCATCCGACTTGTCCTCCCACGGAACAGTATCTCTTTGCGCTCTCCGTGTTCAGTCTCTTCGACACGCAGGAACACTCAGGGACTCACCACGCGGATTTATCTCATTTGCAGATTATCCTGGCCCAAAGCCGTCATTGCACCTCAAGTTCGTGAACTTATTCATCTATATCGTGAACGAGGTTTCTCTGAACGCTCACTGGAAGACGCATCCCGATCCGTACTTCGTCGCTTTGGACTACGTTGGCGACAGGTCAGTGAACCCCCGGAAAACTTGCTCCCTTGCGTTTATTGAATCTGCGCCACTTCATTCCATTGAGTTAATCGCAGGCATTTTAGGTCAAGTTACCACCAGAGCCCCTAGTCATGGCCGGTTCTTCACCCGATTCCTATCTCTTGGACGACGTCACCTGGACACCAGACCCGGACATGGACTCAGACCTGGACGCCTCCTCCGCACACGATGCTGGTCTACTTCCCACAGGTTCAGATGTTGACGGGGACCCCACGCCTCATCGCACCCTTCCACTTTCTCCCTCTCCTCTCCCAGGAAAACGACCCAGCAAACGCCGTCGACGACATCGCCACCATACTACCTCCTCTTCTTCCACATCGTCTCGACCTTCCAAAACCACGTCAACCTCGTCGTCGACATCCTCATCGTCCTCATCCTCTTCTTCGTGCTCCACTACGGAACTACAAGCAATGGACCCGCCTACCTCCTCGTCCCGTCCAAAGAAACGTTCACGGGAGACACCTTCCGGGACCAGCACTACCACTCCAGCGACGGGACCTTCACTCACCACGACTAATCGTCCCTCAGCAACAGTGGACGCTCCCCCTCGCATCCGAATCCCTCCCCGAGGACATGGTTATACATTACATCAAGTACACCGCAGCAAGTCGGGCACTACACATTCCACCGTTTCATTCCATGGAGATGCCGCAGAACGTCGCCGACAACAGTGGCTCCGACAATGGCGCCAGTGCACTCCTGCCTCACCGTACTATCAGGACGTGCAGAACTGCATCAGACATCGCGCCCGCATTATGTTGGACATCATCGCTCATGAACGAGGAGGACCCACTGCAGCTACGGACAATTTACGGATACGACGTCGCTATGACCTACCCGAAGACCAACTCATTCCTTTGGCACTCATCTACCGGGAATGCACTACTCGCAGACGACGGTCTGTCCGCGACATTCTGATTACCTGATTCCAACAAGAACCCGCTCTGGAAAACATGCCTTGGCATCTCCGTTTCGTCAGTTCCACACCCGCAGCCTTTTTACCGTAGCTTTTCTGTCCAAACGCAGTTGTTTCCTTCCTTCACCCACGAATGGCTTCCTTCTCTGACATCCTCCCCATGATCCTCTCCTATTTCGAGATGCAGACTATGATACAATTGGATCCCCGTCATTGCCAGCGTCCACACACTGATGACCGCCACACCACCCGCTCTGCCTTCTCCATCTTGACCGCACATCACGCTGATTGTTCCTGGCATCAATATGGCGTTTGGCAACAGTTCCTCACTGCCCTCCAAGATCACAAGATGAGCGCCCACAATTTCTTTGGCTTCCACCACGACAACACGGTGTTCACGATCTATCATTATCAGCCCTCGGTCATCGTACACTGCAATCGACTGTGTTGGCGAGCCCACGTCCAGCTACGTTCTGCATCACGACTTTGCCTACGTGTCCGCATTCGAGATCCTACCCTAGCACAGTGGCGACCTACTTCGTCCGGACCCTGGATTACCACATGCTGGTGTTCAGCGCATTGCCTTTCCTTTCCTTTTCCAAATGGACATCTACGACTTCACGCCGCCACTCGCCTCCTCCACCCATCACAACGGACAATCCTTACTGGCAACAGGAACAACAACGACATGGTCTGCTCCCACCTCTGAGACGGTGAAGCTTCGGAGGACACTGACAGAAAATTTTTGAGACAAAGAACCTCGCGTGTGCATCTTGGCCGTGGTCTATTTGATCTACCGCAGCCTTTTCAGCACTATTTGGTTAGTCCTCCGCCTCTCCTTTCCTTCCTTTCTTCGCCTCTGCACTCATGGCTCCGCAACTACTCGATATTCCTTTGGAATGGTGGTTTGACTTCTTGGTGGAGCTCCGAGTATGGCAAGTTCGTCCAATGACCTCACCCGATCTCCAGATCCCCAGTACCCTCCTTGATCCACGCTTTGTCATATCACAGCACCGATTCACGACCTCTCAGAACCGCTTCTACCTCGACACCCTTCATGGACTTTGTCAACTCAATCCTTCCTTCCAACGACTCGATTACTATGACCCGAACATCTGCGGTTACCAGTACAGCATGTTCACAACCGCACCATCTCCACGCGTACTTCACGCGTTACTTCTCGCTGATCGTCGACTACATTACACAATGAGCCAGATGATACTTCGTCATCGTTGGCAACTTTGCCTTGGTCTACTGGCACCTAAAGTCTACGCTCGTCACGTTGATCGACGTCAATATCAAAGGCATGAATTGCCAACTCCTCTCCGAGAAGTTCTCCACCGACTTTCCTTGCACCGCTGCCAGATCCTCCAAGTTCACCCGACGGCTCTACCTGCTCTACATGCTCACCGTCCTCGTCTGATTAACTCACCCCGCTACGGCGGGGTGTGTGTGTGACAACCCTGTATCCAAGGGCCTTCTCCTCACGCTCTGCAGCCGTTTCCTACTTACGCTTTACATATAACCGAACTTGAGTACAGAGTACACAGCAGGGGGGCAGCGAGCATTTCTGGATTGAGCTGCCTAACAAAGACCGTCCAGATTTGCTGTGATATGAAGAAGGGACGCCTTCTTCACGTACCTGCACAATTGCTTGTGACATCCTGGTCTTCGCTGTATATGGTTCGTCATCGTATTGGTGCATATTCCTTGTCTGGATGGCCTGGGGCTAAGCCGAGGACCCCGCACAGAACCTTGTCAGTGCGAGTGAAGCCATTCTTCAGTGCGAGCGTTTGCAATCGTTGGTCCTGGTCTTGTCCTTCGGCACGTTGGGGTTCAGGCTGGCGTTGTGGTTTAGCCAGGCAGGTTGAGGTGTCAGCTACAGACTTTCTGCACTTCCTCTTTGCAGCTGTTGTCCATGAAGCTACCTGTCCAAAGTCTCTGATGTGTGGTCGCTTGAGACCTGGACATCAGGTGGTCCGTCGCATACCGAAACCTTCCTTAGCATTCAGTGTGTGTGTCTGTGTGTGTCGTGTCGTGAAGTCATACCTGCAGTCGGAGTGGATCCATCCGCATTGCGTTCACGAAGATGGGCCCGCATGCTATTTCGTGGCCCGACGTTGGAACACAAGGGAAAGAACGAGCTACGAAGAGGCTGAGCTCCTGATTCAACCTTTGTCGGCTGGAAATGTCGGAAACGTAGGCAGCTCCTCAAACCAGCAGAGGGTTGTCCGAGTGACGGCACACATCGTCCAGTCTGTCAGCCTGTCAGACGCGGTTCTTTCGCTCCAATTCCAACACTTTATTGCCAGTCTCTGGATGAAGGCGGCCAGCAGTGGCCGAGTTGTGTTCCTTGCTTTGCCGTTTGCATCACCGGTGAAGCCCGCCGCGCCCGAAAAAACTGCACTCCGTCAGCTGCCTTGTGGTCCTCTGGAGGAATCCAGTAGCGAAGCATGTGCGGTGTCTAGGGAGAACTCCCCTGCCAACCTACAGAGGCTCCTTCGATTAGCTGTGGCAAAGACTACGCTGCCTCACAGCAAGATTTCAGGGTCATAGCCACATGCGGTGGTGAAGATAAGACGATCGATCGACTTGCCTGCCAAGAACTCCTGCGCCTCGTCCTGGGCTCGCGACCATCCCAAGGTTTTGCAGTTTGGGGCTGGTGCCGCCGGGGCAAAACACTCACCTCTCGTAGGAGTTACTCTTCCGATGCGCAGTTGAGATGCGTGGCATTGACATGTGTGGCAGGGGTCGTAAAAGCTGTGAACGAGTTCGTGCTGAAGCATGATGCGCTGCTTTGGCTCCTTGACTGGATTGGGATTCGGAAAGAAGACAGGGCTGGCTCTCCGTGCGATTCTTCATAAACAGGTGCAGTGGATTAAGGCTTCAATGCACATCGACAGCTTCTGCACATGAATCGTTTTGCTGTCTTTGACCGTCGTCTCGCGCCTATGCAACAGGTTGACCAGAGACAGCTGGTGGGTGCATCGCACTGAGCATGCCTGGAAAAGATCGTGCACGACGAGCTTGCAGGGTCGCCTGTGACCCTTGCACGCCAGAGGTAGGCTGTCGCAATCCCTGGACGGCTTGGATACTAGTCGCCTGGTGAGTCCCCAACCAACAGTGCAAAGTCTGTCTAGACCTAGTTGAGCATTTTCCCTGCTTGGGGTAGAGAGTGTAGCTTCGCTTGCTCGAAGAATCATGGGGAGGGTTCGTTTCGGAAATTAGTGGGCCTCAAGTTTGCTGGCTCCCTTGGAAGTTCGATCTGTTTTCTCGGGAGGGGTGGGTTGAGCATGAGTTCCAAGGTCCAAGTCGACACATGGCATGAGCACGAGCTTGCGTGAATCCGCCAGATTTTGAGCAGCTCAACTTGGTGGGTTTACTGGTTCTTTTTTCAGCTGTGGCCGGCTGTTTGCGCTCGACATGTCGAAGCCGCGGCAGCCAAATGACGCCATGGCAGCCCCCATCGCCCCCATCGTTCTCGATGAGGACGCATATCGACAATAAAGCCCGCATTGCAACGTCCTGAAAGTCACCCCGATCAGGATACCTGGACCTGCGACAATCCCAACATCGTGATGGTGAAGATGCCCGAGATGTCCCACATTCCGGAGGGAGAGCGCCCGGTTGTCATGCTAAAACTGCCTGATGGCACCATGGCAGACATCCAAACGATGAGCCTTGGCTACACTTGCCTGCATTGGGTGTGAACCCAGGCAAAACTTTCCACCAGCCCCCTTGACTCAGGAACCTTCCGAGCAATGTCAAAAGGCTGCTCAGCGACATCGACATGGACAGAGACTTGCCCAATAGATCTTCACAGGCTTTAGGGAGGGACTTAAGCAGGTTAGGATGAAAGGTTAAGGCTTGAGATTTAGGGTTTGAGGGTGTCGAAATTCCAGGGTTTCAGGTTCCTGTAACCACCAAAGTCGAAAGCTTCTAGACCCCAGGCCATGAAACGCACCAGACAGTGACCTCTGCTCTTCGAGTTCGGTCAGCTCAGAGCACTCACTGAGAGCATCGAGCAATGGCATCACCGTGGGACCAATGACAACGAGCAATTATGATAAGAATGGGGGTCCCCCCCCACGCCCTGCGCTTCATGCCCCTTTGTGTGTGGGTGTCCGAAGTCCGCACTAGCGAGGAGACGGAGTGGTGGATGACCCGAATGTGGATCACGTGGCTCCTCAGCTGCTGAACCGTAAGGCTCAGGATATGCAAGCTTAGTTAAGCCCTAGACGCTGCCTCCAAACGAATGTATTTCAAATCTTCGACTGCCAATCAACCCCTTCAGGATTCTTGTCGGTGCTTAGGAACTGCGGCTCACTTAAGGCTCGCACGAATCCGTAGAATCTTTGCCTGCACACTCTGTGGCACAAGAGCAACTAGGTTAAGATGCTGGAGATGATGCGCGAGGAATTTGGCTGTGAGAAGGGTCACGTGGCACAAGAGGAGATGGACAAAGCGCTGATACTGCTCCTTGCTTGCGCTGGCAGTTGCGCGGTGCTTCTGATGAGGTAAAGTCTGTGCTGCGCGGGATCCTGATACTTTGGTCATGCATAGGGTAGATGCAAGAGCTGCGATGGTCCCTTCCTGTGCCAAGTTCGGCTTCGGACTGGGAGACCTCATCAGGGCTACAGGAACTAAGAAAACTCCCAGTTCAGTCGCCTGTTCAACGTTTGCACATCTGAACGAACTTAGATTCCAGAGCGAGTTGCTGCTCTTGGATCGGTGCAGCTAGTAGCACCTGTCTGACCTATCTTCTGCGACAAAGGATGACGAATCTCTTGCGCCAGAAGCGCGAGAACTCGGCAGACATGAGCCGCTCAGCATCTCTTGCGTCAGATCTCCTGCAATCCTAAAGCCGGAAGCTCAAGCCGGCATCGCAAAGCTCGCAATTCCAAGCTCCCATCCTCAGGGCTTCAAATCTGCATGACGTGCCCGCACGAACAAGGCTTCTGCAGTAGCAATGTAGTCAATCTTTTGCTTGAGGCCCCGAGCTGCCAAGCCTGCTAACCACAAAAGAGCCTCCATGAGCAGCTGGTGTTTAGCACCCTTGGGCCTTGGACATCTGGGGGAAATTCGCTTCCAAGACCAGGTTCTGGCAATCGGTCGGTCCTACATCTGGTTTCACTTGAAGACTTCGAACCCTTTGCTTATTTGTTGCGGCCGCTGCGCAGCCCAAGGCTATCGCCATCTGAGCCCCTGCATTCAGGCGTGGACAGCAACAACCACTGAAGGGTCACTGGAATTTATTGCTATTATTGCAGGCAAGTAAACCTGAGAACATCTGAGCTCTCATGGCAACGCAGGACGTGATGAAGGAGTGGGATATCGACGGCGACGGAACGGTGGCTCTTCACGAGCTCACAGAGGCTCCCGTGCCGGAGTTTGCTCGAAGTCAGTCGGATTACAGTTGTTTCTTAGTGTCCCAAGCTCGATAAAAGTCGGTTTCAAAAGAAGAAGGGTGCCGGCCGCCGGCCTGGCGTAGGGTTCAGCTGAGCTTGCGAAGGCCGCCCACGCCTACAAGAAGGTCAAGAAAGAAGGCTGGGATCCACGCTTGGGCTGTTAGGTTCTAAGCTGGACATGGTAAGGCGTGTGTGCTTGATTTGCAGGTTGAGGATACTCCAGACCTCTGTAGTGTGAAAGAACAAACTATTCTTTGCAAAGGTTCGTGGTTCTATGGGGTCAAGGATCGCTGTTGCAAATCTGGGGCACAGGGTCCCTAGTAGCGGCAGCAGGACAGAGGGAGGACGCTATCGAGATGTCCCTCTCCCGAGCGTTCCCAGGCCGCCGGATGAGGAGGATGATCATCGGCCTTTGCTGCGTCATCGGTGTGCTGCTGACGGGGTTCCTTGGATGATGAGGGTTGGGGAGACAAGCCGCAAACCCTACGCCTCCACTCAATACATCGGCGATGACCAACGATACTCTGGGACTTTGCCCAGATGGACAACAGTTCTTGCTGCACAGGAAATACTGAACAGGGTACTTTTCAACGCCAATGGGGGACCCTGTTTCTTGACGCTGGAGTGTTGAGAGCACACATGCGCCAGAAAAGGGTTTTGCAGGCTTGCCGCTTAACTTCGACACGCTGTTTCCGCCTGGTGGACCATAGAGTGGGCCTTGCTAGTACAAGCGGAGTATGCCTTATCCTTCAGGCCAAACACTCGGAGATACGAGGGAACAAGTGGCTCTGCCTCTAGTCCCGAAGCAGTGGTTTTCAACAGCTCCTGAGGATGTTCGTGCTCTCCTATGTGGCAGCGGACATGGCGAAGGAGAAACAGCTCAAGCCGCAGCAGTTGTGTCAGACTCTCGGAATTCCTTTCTAACCTCAGAGAATGTAAGACATGTGTCCAGCTGCTTGATGGCTTAGCTGCAGCAGGCTTGGTCCAGATTTAAAAGACTGCCCCTCCACTAGAGATTGCGGCCTTGACAGCGCCTCCCCTTCATGCCAACATGCAGGAGATGCGCAGCAGTGGCGACGGAGTGATGCGCGCACAGGGCGAGGTGGTGAAGGTGCTCGGACCGGTCACACCCAAGCTGAAATTCCCGCAAGCCGCCCACCCTGCATACCCGTTCACTTCGGGCTTGTGGCTCTCAGAACGAAGGACTATGGGGTTGGGTTTTGGGCTTCCTTTTTTGGGGCTTGGAAAATCGGCACTCCACAAATTCTGAATGCTGCCACAGAACAGCCTGAATGCAGACAAAGGGTGTCCTCAAGCCCAAGCCGCGGGGTCCTCCGGTGCAGGTTGCGAGCTCCGACTTCACGCTGGTGGATGGCCAGCTTGTGGCTCGTGGGGAACCCGATGCCCCAGCCGAGTGCGGCACTCCGAGCAAAGAAGTCCCCGTAGCTTCCAAGTTGAGGCACACCAGACACCCTCTTTGTTGAGATGCACAACTGAAGCAGACTTGACGAGTCAGATTTGGGCAGCTGTTTCCTAGTCACAAGATTGGACGACAATCTTGCAAGAAGATAACAGAGCGTGGAATGATGGTTGTTCGGACGCAGATAGGTCGAAGGTCGCCGTCAGCCATGCACTATTACGCTGAAACCACCTACCCAAGAACATGCCGGGTGTCACTGCATACACCCTCTGCAAGGCACAAAGCCCATCTTGTGCTAAGGTACCAATACCACCTGCCGTCGTCTGCGGCGCGGCGGAGGTTTTCAGGCCAGCATGCTGTGACGAAGACTGGGCTTGGTTTGGCAGGCTTTCCAGCACCAGGCGCCGGTTGAGGCCTATGATTCCTTTAGCATTCTTTCGCATCCCGACGCCTGTCCACGAACGATAGAATCTACGATCTGATGCCACTCTACAACTGTAGCACTTGTGTCTTAGAATGTCCGCGCAGAAGCCACTGCAAACGGCTCCGGCCACAAGGAGGGTGGAAGGACTCCTTGGCAGCACGCGGTGGGGAAAGTGGATCTTGAATATCCGACATTGTGCCCAGACTGGGTCGGAAACATGCCAAAGACGTCCTCCGCGCTGCTTTAGGCCTCCAAAGGGCAGAGGATCAAAACGCCCTCGCAAAACTCAAAGCCGGATTATGCGGAACTCGACACCGAGGAGTCTGCTCTCAATCGAAGCGTTCGAACTTCGACAGGCCGTTACGTGGGGCTGTCGGATGTTTCAGAAGGAATGAAGAAGTGTGAGTCACCCGTGGGGGGAACAAGTGCTACGAATCACTCCGCACTGGAGTGACTTCAGGGTGGTGTCAGAGTTCAGATTTGTTGTTAAACTGCAGTCTGACAGTCTGGGTTCGCATCCTGCGCGGAGGCTCAAGGCCTTGGACTTTCGCTGCGCGCAGCCTCTTCATCTGCCGGTCGACAAGGTGCAGTCCGAAGACATAAAAAGACCTCTCAGAGGAGGCTCCAGAGCTCCAGAAGTTCCAGAGTTGCGTCTGGAATCTCCCGCAAAGGGTCGCGAGTTTGGACTGGGATGCAGATGCAAGACAGACAGATTGCAACATCACTGCAGTGTGTATCTTCGAAACCCCATGACAGCCGCATAGCCAGGTCTGTGGCTTCCGATGTCTCGCTTTCTGCCTTGTGTGATGACCCTTTATCCTCATCGTCCGTTCGCGAACCCTGAACGGCCGTCAAAGAATCGGAAGCATTTCTTCAAGCATGAGCTCTAGCAGTCGCAAAGTCCAGAGCGGCGAACCAAGCCTTTTAAAAAGTCCGCACGAGTCCATTGCAGGTCATGTCCGCAGAGATGCGGGAGTGCAACTGCGGACTTGTCATGAACATCCACACAAAGGCCTGGATGCCCAAACCCTCGACAATCTTTCACAAGCAAGCCAAGTCCTGCAATGCGTTTCAGCCCATTGTTGTGCCTGAACCACAGAGTCTGCTTTGCAATAATGGCACAGCTAAAACAGACCATGGCTAGAGGCTGCACCGTTCAATCCTTCATGAGGAGTCCGGCCTATGAAGCTAACCCTCCAAATCCTAAACCTCCACCGCAGGAGGGCATTGTAACCCTCGACGGATGCGATGTGTACGTGGATGACCCGATGTTCGAATTCTTGGAGCAGGCCGGCTCCTTGCAGCGAGGGAATCACGTCGCCAGCAGCCTCTTGATACTCCGTCATGCGGCATTGGGCGTGCGTGCTCGTGGCGGATGTGACCAGCACCTCTGGACGGCTCCCAGCGACGGGCCTGAAGACATGACACCATCGAATGCTGGATTCGTAAGCATCCTAAAACGCGAGGCCAGCGAGCCCTCCGGATTCAAAGCACAACAGCCAGGCTCAATGTTCGGCACTGACGAAGAAAGTGAGAAAGCGACAAGCAGGCGGCCGACCTCCTCCAGGCTGGTGCCGCAATATTTGGAAAGCTTAGAAGCTGTAGCAGTCTGTGCGCAACTGGGAGTTTGGGCGGGAGGAGGGAGTTCAGGGTCGCATTTTTTTGCTACGAGGTCGGTCAAAGCACGAGGAATTCAGTTAACTTGATTCAATCACCTGGTTTAAATGTCTTGGGATATTGAGTTCTGTGCACAGATTCCAAAGCCCACCTTCTCATAGCCTGTAGTGCGTAAGCTGCGAATGGAGAAGCTGCAACAACCCTCCACACTTCGACAAAGCTGCTGATGTCAAATCATAGAGAGCCAAGCATCCGGGACACCGAAGCTTCCCCTAAACTAGCAATCCTCATGCCCGAAGCCAGGAAAACTGAACAAGAAATCCGCCATACCCAGTTTGTTTAAAGCGTTCGTATTAGCGCACCCATAGAGCGAACCCTCAAACCCTGAACTTTTGAAGCCCTCAGCATACAAGGATACAAGGGCACTTCTCCGTCTTCTTCTGTTTCTTATTGCTCTTACCAAGTATAATGATGACTCACTGTGATTCTTAATCATTCTTACTACTACTAATCCTCCTACTAATTGTCGTCAGTATGATGATGATGCGGCTGATCATGATAATGATGCCAATCATGATGATTACCAGTATGGTGATAATGATGATTGTTATTGTTATGAGCATCAAACTTGAGGGCTGAAGCCGTTACCAGGTCGCCAGGGCGGCCGACAGGGTGGTCGGCAGCTGCTAGGAGCAACGGACATCCTGGATGGCACTTTCGAGTGGTTCGAGGACCTGACTTTGGGGGTTTCAGGCGGATCGGGGCAAGCCTGAACCCTAAACCGTAAAATCGTGAAGACTGGACCCCAAACTCCAAGCCCAATGCTTTAAAACCGGACTCTACAAGCAAAACCCGGGGTTTGATGTTGTGGGGTTTGCGGGTTTTGGTTTGGAGTTAACTGTTTCAAAAGCGCAATTTGGGGTCCAGCCTTCACGATTTTAGGGTTTAGGGTTCAGGGTTGCGGGGTCGTGCCCTTCAGCCCTTAAGAGCCTGGCATGAAACCCCAACCAAGAGCATCTTTCATTCTTTTATCCCCCCGCCTGGAACAGGAAGGCGAGGAGCCCTGCGAGAGCAACCCTCTCCCCGATCCGCAGAGCATCCCGCAGAACCTTGGTTGAGGTTTTCGGGTGCTGGATTGTGTGTTTCGGGCAGAGGTGGGCGGCCCGAGGCTTGCGCAGGTTTAGGCTTCCAGGATTCACGGGCTTCAGGCTGGTTGGGAGCTGAGAGCGGGTTTTCAGCCACACCACGTGGAGATTGTTTGCCTTTCGCATCAAAATACCCACACCCCTTCTGCAAAGGTACTTTCGCGCGGAGGTTCGCATCACGGAGCTGCACCCGGAGCCCATGATGTCCTTGAAGCGTTGTATGAGCTTTCAAGATGTGTAGTCTCCGTTTCAGGATGTGGTCTTTTCGCATTTCAGAGCGGGACTTCATCGGCAGCGAGTTTCGTTTACATCGGCTCTCAAAGCCATCAACAACACCAGAAGAAGCAACCGAAATAATGCTGAAACTCTACTCGCCCTATGCCGTCAATCCTAAAATCGACCTCATACTTCCCTCAGGCAGTCTAAGCAGTCCAAGTCCGAAGCTTTTCGCAGGACCCGCAGGCCGAGGCCTTCTCCCAGTACTTCAGCGACGCCAACGGCTCCGCCCTGACACCTGCAGCGGGGGAAGTTGGGTCACGAGCATAGGGCCTATGGTGTGTAGATGGTGTGCTGAGACTGTATGCGTGCTCTTTGTGGCTTTTCAGTTGCTGGAATCGGTGTTGAAGGCGCAACGCTCCGTGGGTTGAAATTTTGCAGAGTTTCGACATTTTGGGTCTCGAAGCAATAGGCAGGTAGTCATCGAGACCATAGCAAGTCCGGAGGGTCGCTTGCCAGGACCCTGCCGGGCATTGTTTCCTACGACGGAAAGATCTACAAGACCTGGACGGACTCTTGACCGGAACTCATCCGGGGAAGACTTGAGAGTTGACCTTCCGGGTCTCCTAGTTCAACTGACTGCGCGAATAGGGTCCATCAGCATGCATGTAACACTTGTTGATGCGAATACCATGAAGTCCGGAAGAGCAACATCCCGACAAAAGCTCCGTCTAGGAAGAGGTCGTGAGGGCCTCGGACGCTGAAGTCCATCTGAAGCGCTATGCCATGCATCCTCTTCAGGCGGGCGTGTCGGGCGATTGCAAGCCTCTTTTCTCAAAGCTTCCAGTCGGACGATACTCGTAGGTTGCCCTCAGCATCCCTCAGCCCAAATAATCTGGGTACAGGCAGAGACAACCCTGTACGGAATGTATGGAATTAGCTTTCAAGCGTACTTGACTCCGCCTGAAAAGAAGCGGAAGTCTTCCACCAAAGCATGAAGCCCAAGAATCTGCACAGCCCACTAGACGTGAAATAATTGTCGGCTTTCTAGTTTAAAGGGTGTTGGACAATGAGAGCACGCTGGTCCGAAGTGTGGAGAGCCGGCTAAGTGAGACCTTCAGCATCTCTTGCATTCTTGGGTCAGTGTTGCACCGAAACTCAGCCGTGCATGCAGTTCTAACCATAGCGACAAGCGCGCATGCAAACAGTCGCTCCAAGTTCTGCCTAAGAGCAGGCCGAGCTGCACTTGATGAAGGCTTGGAGGGTTTCCGATGCTAGAACGAGGCCATGTAATCTCGAGTTTCGCAGGCTGGGGTTGTGGTTGTAGGAGCTTGATTGTGCCCAACGTGTGGGCGGGGGATTGAGGATGCACGGTTAAACATGCTGCAAGTACAGTTGGATTCAAGCCCGATGCATCGCAGTGAAAGTTAGGGTTTAACATTTCGGGAGTCTTCAAGGACGGTGATGCCTCGGATGAAGATCTTCCTAAACCCGTCGCCCAACAATGCACAAACCTAGAATGCCTTGAAGCCCTGCAACGGCTGTGCAGCTCGCCCCCCATGATCTGCGTACGCGAAACCACAGCAACACTTTGAGCTTCACACCTTTTGACTCATAGTCTAGGTCACTGGCGCATGCGATGATCCAACATGAACCTAACTAAGACCAGTAGTAAATATATGAGGGCTGGCATGAAAACGTTTATGCGGCTTTTGTGAAAGCTGCTAAAAGCGCTCAACAAAAAGCTTTGCAAAAGCCCTTTTCCGGGATGACCAGCCCGAATCCACAGTCTGCTTTGTCGTCAGGCTGGCGTCCTCGCGCAAATGGATCTCCTCGGATCTCGAGGTGGCTGATCTGTGGCCATGTGGCGTTTCGGTTCTTGTCGCGCAATTCCACGCCTCATCATGCACCTCTCTTTCTGTTTTTCTGGGAGGCTCTGTGTTATCCTAGCAGAGACCAGGCATTGGACGCTTGCTATTCGATTATTTGGTGTCAGTCGCAGCAAAACCCCAAACCGCTAAACCCCAAAATGGTAACATAATCCATTGTCTTTTGAAGGCTTCCGCTGCCAGATTGGCGACGGCGATCTCGGCACAGAGAGCTTTAATTTCTCATGGCAGCCGAGTATGGAATACCAGGCCTTTCGCTGGTTGAGGGCGGATACACTGTGGATCAGTGGAAACTTCTTGAGCTTATGTTGCGGGTGCGAGGACCAAGGTGCAGGCCTGTCCTGACTTAGCCTTCACGGTGGTCCGCGGACCAAGCAGTGGACGAATACGAGCAGCTGTAAACGAAGATTCAGACCACAGCCGCCACCCGCAATCCCTGAACCCATAGTCTGCACAACAGGGCACCGTCGCCGAGCCGGACGGCCGCATTCTACGCCATTGGAGGAGGGTTTCTGCGAGTCTTGCTCGCCTGATCTCCATGCCACATCCAAAATCAAATCCTCCACGAGATCCTGAATACCAGGACGTCCCCACACAACGAGCTTGCCAACTCGTGTGTCGCTGCTGTTCTCTGTTGGTCAATGCTGGTGATGCCCATTCAGTTTTGTGCGATACGTTTTGGTGGCCTCAATTGCTGTGGCCGCATTGGCGAAGCCATCCCGAGACCTCGATCTTCTGTCGTTGTCCTGCATATTCAGTATTTTTTATGATGTCATGATGTTTCTCAGGTGAAGCCCGCTTCGAAAGCCGTACTAGCAACTTCCGAACCGGAAGCCAACTGAAACCTTAAGCTCTCCATTTCCTGCTCTTGGAGGAACCCGGTCAAGGTAGATGAACCCAGTGAAGGCATTGACAGATCATGTTGAGTTTCACAAGAGCTACAGTAACTACAGTTGATTTCGTGAAGCAGACTTAACTTACAAGAGGACTGACGTCCTGAAGGGCCTGGACCTCTCCACGCTAACCGAGGCTCCCGATATTTGCACGCAAGCATGTTCAAGGCTCTTGGAATGCGAGATTTTTTCGTTGTGTGATGCTACAAGAGGCGGTTTCTTCTTTCTCTGGCCTTGCAGCTGACCCATTCCGACTCATATTCCGTGATGAGAAGTGCTGAGTGGTGTCCCCCTGCCATAATGATACAACATGCCACCAGGACGAGAATTTCAGCGTGGCTGTCGTGGAGGCCCGACCGGCTGTGCAAGTCGCAACCCGGAGCCCTTTCACCGGAACTCAGCGTATCGTGAATTTTCAGATCCAAGTGCCAGTCTTGGCGTCTTTGGATGTGCTGAACTCAAGCGCGAGTTACCAACAAGCAGTCGAAGTGGTTGCGTGTGCACGTTTGTGCGTGTTTGCCTGATGTATGCGAAATGGTTTTTGATCATCACCCTGATGCTGACGAGGCATCGGAGTGTGTGTGTGTGTGTGACAGCTTGAGAGAAAGCAATGCGAGAGCAGTCGACATCGCCCGGTGACCAGGAAAGCAGGTAAAGGGCTCAGGGTCACGCACAGGCGACGAGCAACAGTGCACAGAAGGAGGCTCGTCCAACATCTTCAAACCTCAAGGGTCGGCTTCGTATGCTGAAGTCATCCTGGACCCTCACACAGCATGAGAAAGCAACGTGAGCCTTGATGCCCCCCACGGTGGTGCCACGCTCAGATGAAGGGTGCAGCTGGTAGCCTCCCATCCAGGCTGTCCAACTCAGCTTGCAGCAACTAGCAAGGGCACCTTTTTGCTTTACCATCGCAGCTTTGCCAGGTTTGTGTTTTGTTCTCGGGATTGCTTTCAAGGCCGGCCTGTCCCCGAACATTATCGACTACTACGATGTCGACACGGATCCCAGTGAGGATGGTCGCCCTCTAGGGTTTGTCGGAAGTGTTGTTTCGCGCTTTAGGGTTCAGCTTCTTTTGCCTCACAGGCAGCCTCAGCTGCAGCTCCTAGCAATACCTTGGCCCGGATTTTGCAAGGAGTCTTTGAGAAGTTTCATTGTGAGCCGCTGGATTTCGTGCAATACGTTCCGGGTTCGGGGCGTGGCTCTCTCCATCCTTTGGCCCTTGGTTTTCTGCGGGCCAACAACACGAAGCCTGAAAGCTTTTCGAGTGTCCCGGCAGCTCGATCGAACCGAGTTGAGAGGCCTTCCAGTCGGGGCAGCCTTACCGGATACTGGGCATTTTCGGTAATTTTTGAGTCTTAGGACGCGGGATGAGAATGAAAGCCTTCCTACGCCTTCATTTTGGCTCCTGGGACCGCGGCCTTACGGGGTATTCGCTGTAAAACCGAGGCAAAGCCTACCCGTGCTGGCAAAGGAGAAACTGAGGAGTAGGTCGAAAGCCTTTGCCTTCTGGGTCGGACTACCGGCCTGAAGCCACATGCTCCGAGGATTCATGCATTTTCCACGGTTCCCGGCTCGACCGTGGATCGAATGACGGAGTACCTTACTATGGAGGCCATCGTCTCATACTGTTGGTGCACTTAATAAAAACAGATTCTCTCAAACCAGAGGCACCTACACGCGTGAGCCAGTTTCAACACGTACTTTGCGCGTGCTCTCCTTTTCCACACTTCATGCAGTGGCCCATGTTAGGGATTCAGCATTTGGGACAGGTTGTGGTTGCGTCAGACAGGGACCCTGCCAGCTTTGCAGCTGTGCGAGATTACTTCTCGTGTGTAAACCTTCTTGCAGTTTCCGCGAGTTTGACCATGGGGCTGAAAAACCTCGCCCAGCGCAATCTGATCCGGCATGCTCAAACCCCATTGGTGCCACCGCTTTGGCCACAACAGGTTGTAATGTCCTTGCAAACACAGGCCCTCGGCTTTCCGCTTCACCCTTGCCTTTCACCGCGAGCCCCGATGCCCCAAAGAATCCGAGATTGAGTGCGACTATGAATGAGATTGCTACTCCACCAAAAAGGCCCCAATGCCCAAATGTGGCCGCAAGGCAGTGGATGCCTCGAAGGGCCTGGCTCAGGTGTTGGAGGATCCTTTCCGCTCCCCTGCCTTGACCTTGGGGGTAGTTTTTCTGGTTTGATTTTGCTTACCCTCTCGGGGAGGACGGCTTCAAGGTATTCGTAACTTACCAGACTCTGTGCATTGTTTCTGAAACGAATCCTGGAGAGGAGCTCGGCGTCTCAAGTTTGGATGGCGACTGTGACGTGGACTCGCTGCATTTGGGCAGGATAGGGGCCGGGTATTCCGATCTTGAATCGCGCTGTGACGTAGTGCTGGGAGATTCGCGCAGCGATAGAAGATGCTGGACTTCGGAGGGTGTTGGGAGTTTAGTTGCACATATTGTTGGCATCAACAGTTTGAGGGGCATGAAGTCAGCAACGCGATGCTTGCGACAAAGGCAGGGAATTAAGCTCTTCAGAAATCCCACCAGAACGCGCTGAAGGAGGCCTGCGCTGTTGAGTGTACATGAGGTGGACGAGGACGAGGATGATGCCGATGCCACCGCTGACAACCATGCGCTTGCAGCCGAGATCCAAGGCTACCTCTCGCAAGGCCAGCTGCATGGAAGGTCTGCCGGCCACTGCAAGCCCTGGTTGCAATCTCTCCGTAATTATCAAGTTCTAGGTCTCAATTTTCATTCGGGTTTGTTTTGCCATGGGTCATGGTGTCTGGGCTTACGGCAAAGCCTGAGACGGCAGACTGTGAACCTTCTCCAAACAACTATCAAACTGCGCGGGTTGGCACATTGTATTTCCGAATCGCGCAGAAGCACTAAAACGGGTCAGAGTGTTCGGGCCTTGTGGCAGCTGGCAAACGTGAAGCTGCGCCCTGCAGCCGACGACGATGACGACATTGATGAGCCCCCAGAGATTGACCCATGGGCGGAGATGCCAAGCGCGCTGCTCTTCAACTACGAGATGTTGCAAGGGCTGGTCGAGGAGGTCACCGTGCGGAAATGTGATCCCCAGAGTTCTGCCTTGGCCTCCTCCTTTGCAAGCTGCTGGATAGTGTTGTCGAGGGCTGCTGAATTGGGGTTGTGGGCCTCGTGCCTCAGTGCTCAGGTTTGTGGTTGAAGGGCGCTCTTTACGGCAGCAGAGTTCTGTTGGCGTCACGTCGAGGGGATCCTTCACTAAGTCACTAAGCTTTCAGGAGGCTTTCCAGGCAGATGGCAGGGCTGGGTAGCTGCTCCGCAATGCTTGCAAACTTTCAGAACGGCTGTGTAGCCTCGTGTTGTGCTTGCTTGGTTGGTTGATTAGATGGACATGCTAACAATTTGCTTCGGGCATCTATCTACAGGTCTGGATATGTGTTTCCTGTTCAACCGTACATATGTGTATACTCGTGCATATCTATAACTCCACACATGTACCTATATCTAGGTATCTGCATCTACATATACACCTAGATCTGATGTTTTTCTCTGTATCTATATCTGTATTGCCGGCTTCCGCACTGCGAGGACGCTGGTAGTCCCTTCCTTGAGATCGCCACTGGCTCGTTGTACTGGACGTCTCTCTTCACCATGGCGGATAATGAGGCTGATCATACCGCACTAGCTGCTAAGGGGCACGCTGCCAAATCCAACACCTTGGAGTGGGGATTTCCAAGCCTCATTTGGAGTTTCAAGTAAGTGGGACAAGCGAGAGACCATGTTTCAGACAAGTGCGTGGTGCAGCCGCCTCCGAGTCCAGAGCTAGGCTTTACGACTTGCCGAGCAGTACTCAGTATTCCTTAATGGTCCGGGAGCCCGGGCTTCTTGCCGCAGCCTAGCCATCACTCCGAAACTCTCGCCACCCCTAGTCCACCACCTCGACAGACAAGTTAGCACCCAACCCAGGACTTGCTTCCCACCACTTTTCTAGATTCGGATTTGCCCACTACTGTACAACCCTTTTTTGGGGCCGCCCCTGCCTCCGGCTGCTGCCTCCTCCGACCGTTCCATGCAAGGGTTCTCGCTTCTTTCTTTGTCTCCATGCCATCAGTCCTGCAGTCCCAGAGCCGTCCTGTTTTGCAAACACTTGGCGGTGGTCAGTGGTCGATTTCAATTGTGGGAGCGTCCCGAGCAGAAGTGAAGCCGAGATGTGGAGGACGTCTTAAATGCTTTCGTCAATACCACCAGCGACGAACGCCGGTTGAGCGACTCAGCTGAAGCGATGCGCCAGAGAGGGTCCGAGGTTTGGCCTGGTGCAGTCTCTTTGCAAAGGTGAGACGGAGGAGGCGGACTTCAAGTGGTCAGCTCGAGACCGCGACGGCAGATGTGCCGTTGAGGTCGAGGCCAAGAGCCGGGGTCAAGATTCGTGAATTCGGATCCCGTGATCCCCATGCTTTGATTGGGAATGCCATGTTCAGCCAGGCGGATATGGACGCGCGTCCGAAATCTCGCACTTCTCAAGGCAGGACCATCAGGAAGAGCAGACCACTCATCATGAAGATGACTGCAGAGTTTGAAGGAACCTGCCAGGCAGTCACGAAACTGCAGGAAGGTCCTGGTCCTGTCGAGGTTGGTGGCATGTGCTCCGCGGTATGCCGGGCAACCAAGGTCATGACGCAGAGGTCGCGTCTGCGGTCGGTGGAAGTGGAGCCAGCAGGCGAAATGTGCCAACGCAACCGCGCGATGTGCCTTGAGAAGATGCCGCGCCGCCGTGCAACAATGGAGAGTGGCCGACTGCTCAGTGAGGAGGGGGGGCATACTCAAACTGTATGTTTGAAGTCGATCGAAAGCGCGAGTTTTCAGTGCAGGAGTCTTGTTTCTGCAAGGGGGTGTTTGAATGTTCTAGCGGCCCTCTTCTCCCTGCGGCCCCACATGCTAGAAGCGGCCAGGACAGCGATGACGAGACGATGGCAAAAATCAACGGTTTCTTCAAGCGCAAGCAGAAGCCTATACGATTTCAGTTGAAATGCAAGGTGCCTCGGCCTGTTTTGGGAGATCGCCTAGTCGCATCAGTACAGATCCGAGTCCCAGTAGTCGAGTGAGGCTTCAGCTCAGCAACCCTACGTGACCCGTCCTTCGATAACTTCAAGCGGAGTCAAGCGCTTTCCAATGCTTTCCACAGAAAAAGCAGCATCAAATGCGAGCAGGAACGGAAAGGCAGAACTTCGTGCACCCTCCGTGGTCGCAAGGCCAGAGGGATGTGCAGCATAGGGTTTGCTGTCGGCTGGAGTGGCTTAGACCTCGGACTTCAGCTTCGTCGTGTCATACACTCGCAGAAGGTGTCTTGCAGCTCCCAGAGACCGGAGCCCCCTGAGGGGTGAAGTTTCCGAAGAGACTGTAGCGCTTCCGTTCCTAAACCCTGAATCGCCCGAGGGGCGGCGCGGAGGAAGGATGCTGTCCGGCGGCCGTCCCGGCAGGGGCAAGGCACACTGCGAGTTGTGTGGGCTGGGCAGCGCCGGAGCATGGCTTCTCTGCACCCCAGAGATGTGATCGAATAAAGAGGCCATTATCTTTCGACTAGTTGGCTGTGTCGTTGGTCTTGGATTCAATGAAGCATGGAGGACTCCTCGATGATCTAAGAATCGAAGAAGTTTCAACAGCGCTTTGCCGAACTTCAAAACTGAATTGAAAACCAACCGCAAAACCCAAGACCCGAAGACATGTCCCTGACAGGCCGGAAACCCTGCGAAAGCGGGCATGAAGTGGTCTTTTACCAATGGCCAGTTTGACACGAGCTGTGGAGGAATCGTGAAGGCCAACATGTGGGCAAACGGAATTCTGGCAGCAATCAGGATTTCAGCGGCGATTCATTTGCAAGATCCTGACGGTAGCGGCTTTAGTGCCAAAGTTATTGTTGCCTCTCTCGTTGCGGTTGTCGTTGTCGTTGCTGTTGGCAGTGGCGCCGGCGGCGGCGGTGGTCGTGGTGGTGGTTGCATTGTGTTGCCGGCTGTTTGTGACAACGGCATTTTTGTTCGTTGCTGCTGCTTTCCATAGTTCCTGGCAATGATGAGAACTGGTGGTGGGTGCTCTTCCCAGAAAGGCCCGTCTACGATGTGCAAGATATTAAGATATATGCCTTCAGGAGTCTTGTGGCGTGGCCGCACTGTTGAGACGACGTTCACTAGCTTCCCCCCTCCGGGTTTCAGCAGTTTGTGTTATCGCTGCCACTTTGTTGTGTCGGGGAGGGAGCCGGCGTTGTTGGAAGGTAAAGGTATGTGCCTGGTTCATCCGTAGCGGAACCATGGCAGTCCGCAGTCTGTCGCTCGGACTGGAGAACGTTGGTATTGAGGTTGGGGGAGTTCGTTGCTGCCTGCTGCCCAGGCAAGCCAGTCCGCGATACCGCAAAAGAGACTTGGATATGATATACCTCAACGTGTACAGGTTCTGGTGTTAGTGCTGCTGAACACCCCTTCCTCCTGATGCCCTAACTTCACTTTGCGGGTCAAGCCCAAGGAGCTGGGGCCACCGTGTCGGCCAAGAAACAAGAAGGCGGTGAAGTGGCTGCGGAGGGGCGGGCAGAGGCGCTGAGCCACTCGAAGAGTGGCTGCAGCTTGTCGTAGGAAGGCAGGGAATGCCCTGCTGCATTTAGTGCAGATTTAGTATTAGGTTAAAGTTTCTGGCATCAGCCATTTTATCGAAGTGACTTTGAGATCCGAATGACGCAAGCAGCAGCTACAGCGACTACGGAACCTGTAGAAGATCCCCGACTGGCGATCCCGTTCCACACTTGACCTTTCGCTCCCTGGATGTCTGGGTTCGGTGTCGTTTCTGTTTTCGGCTCGGATTTTCTCTTGTGTGGCCGTCTTGCCGAATTCGGATTTCAAGCTCATTTGTTTAAGTCTCTGAATTTTCTCCAGAGCCTTGGAGCTCTCCCTGACTGGCGGGATTCTTCAGGCCCCGTGATTGGTCTGAACTCCAGCCATGCAAGTGCTTGCCTTGCTTTTGCAGGACTGTTCTGAATCGCAGTCGTCTCTACAGACGGTGGAAGAAAGTCTGTGAGGCTTCCCTACATGCCCTTAAACCTGCAGTCCTACACCCGAGACATCATTGAGCTAAACCAGGATGCCGCAA